AACGCCAATATACATAGAAACGAAATATTTGATAACAACTGCCATATTCCTGACTTGGTACAGGACATTTTAAGAAAAAATTATAGGGTAAACCTGGTTTAATGGCTAGCCAAACCTCCCGCTTTATGACAATGTTAAAAAATATCGCTAAAATGACAATACTACGTGACAGAAATACAGCACAAACACACCCAAGAACATTCATCACAGAGAAACGCACAAACAAATAATATATTAGTCGACACAACATGCAAATTTTGATCACCTAGCTAAAAATTATAACTTGTCATTTAAAAATGCAAAAATAACTATAAACTAGACTATCTTATCTGATGCGTTCAATGCAAAGTCGTAGTTCAAATGTTTTGGTTGAACATCGGTAAACTGTAGCTACTGTTGCATCGAATTCATTATGATTTCTTTTATATACTATGGGGAAGCATTAGTATGTTAAAAATATAGCATGAGCTCGCTGTGTGATTGGTATCATTTTAACGTTCTTACGCTTATCCATTGTGTCTCGTACTTAGCTATTGTTGTGACCACTTTTCCCAATAACAGTTCCATTTTTATAGTTGAGTGACAAAGCCAACAAATTTTCAACTTTCTGGACCACCCTACCCGCAGGCTAAACTATGATCTTTCGTTTAGAGAAATGTTTTTAACTTCATTTTTTGCCCCGTCTAAGAATCGAAAAATGGTGCATTTTTCTAAAAATTTGAGGTAACAGTTCGGTAGTTGATTTTTAAATTAGTGTTGAAAATTACAAAAGGGTTATAAAAATTTAGAAAAAAAATATCTGAATTGTGAAATAGTCAAGCAAAATGGGACTTATATGTATTTCTACACGAGGAGGTGCCTGTACCAAGTCAGGAATATGACAGTTGTTTTCCATTCGTTTGATGTGTTTGGGCTTTTGATTTTGCCAATTGTTAGGGGACTTTCCGTTTTTAATTTTCCGTGGAGTTCGGTATTTTTGTTGTTTTACTTTTCACAACCTATTCATTAGACTGATACAAGTTCGTGTAAATTGGTTCAAGAGATAAAATAAATTCGGAAACGTTTATCAAGCGGAGGGAAAAACGTACTTGCCTGACCCTCTTTGCCAGGTGAGACAAAAGGAAAAGTAATTAAACCAAAATATAACATATTTTATAAAATTTCAGTACCGAGGGAAGTAAAAAAAAAATATAAAAGCTGATTATTCATCAAAATTTTTAATGAAAAAATGAAACATTTATCTTTCGCTGTTAGGATTCTTCCAAAAAACGATTGAATTAAAAGGTTAAAAAAAATTGCACAGTAAATAGTTTCACCGTCCATACAACAAAGATAAGTGATCATGAAACTAATTGATTCGGGCAAATTGACTTTTGATGGTTTTTACTTATTCATTTCAACTGTGCAATTGAATATTTCTTGCTATTGCGCAATACTGTACAATTGACAATTTCTTGCTTTTGCGCAATATTGTGCTATTGGATATTTCTTGCTATTGTGCAATACTGTGCAACTATTTTGACAAAGATAATTTGATTGCTTTGCTTTTAAATTGAAATCTTGAAAGTAAATATTAATTCTAAGATTTTAATCTCCTATTTGGTCTTTTAAGTTAGACAACAATTTACGGTCAGCGAATTTTAGAGATCGATGATGTACGCCGTTTCAATTCGGACTTGTTCATTTCAAGTATCCATATACATATTACATTATGTATGATGATATGCACTTGCATTTGATTTTGTTCGGTTATGTATTATTTGTACTTAATGTGGAAATAATGTTCAATAACAGTTTTATATAACGTTACGCCCTACTTAGATATGTATTTATATAAATATTATGTATGATGTTATTCACGTGTATTTGATTTTGTGCGGTTATGTATTATTTATAAGGGGGAAATATTTATTTTTAATTTCGTAACACTTATCATAAGGTATATTCTTTATAGTGCTATGTTTTATCAGATGAGATGAAGGGACATACAGTGAAATCTGGTTAAGAGAACACTAAAGGTAGAGCACAAAAGTTGTCTCATTAGACAGGAGGTCTTTTAATACAGGTTCAATATATATGAAATGCATTACATAATAGTCTTATAACACAGGTGTTCGCTTAATACATGTGGTTCCTTAAGCAGGTTTAACTGAACATTGTAATAAAGGGCACGAACGATCTGATAAATTGGTGACCATTGTTTACATGAGGGACTTTGTGTTTCATCCCGACATGTTGATTTCATTTTTATTAGATTTTGACCCTTTATCATTAATTTTTATATTTTGATAGTTCTCATATTTGGTTGGCTATTTTGTTAAAAGGCCTAAGAAGTAAAAAGACGGGACAATGATATTTATCCGATAAAGATAAGTACATACTATTAGATAACTACATGATTCATCTCCTTAAATTTGCAAAACTCATCAGATATAACTGCATACTCAACCATATCGCACGAGTTTCTTTGTTTCTTGCGGGGTTCGAGTTGCTCATTCATATGTTCTATGTAGTGCGTTGTGGACAATTTATCCATCCTATTTTTTTATGTCATAGTATCATATTTTTTTTTACTTGTACTGTTTAATGTCATTCACTCGTCCTTTTGATTGATACAGTAGTTCGATATTATTTATGTAACAATCACTACATGAACGTACTTAGTTACAATGTACCACTAGATATGAAATGTATTTACACTGTATAATATGCAATACATGCATCTACCAATTTATTAATGGCATGTATGATACATTTTATAAATTATATTTGAGAGTATACTTTTTATGCATTATGAGATATTATTTAAAGGGGACTTGAAGGCATTCAGTACTTTCAATGAATTGTAATATCGTTTTGTCTTATGGTAAAATCGGATCTTTTTCATCAAAATGATCAGAATTAGCCTTCAATAAGAATAAATTTAACAGCAAATCAAAAGGTTCAAATATTCGAAGTTCTTAATTTCGTTAGTCAGAGTATTTTGTTAGCATCAATTCGATGGATGGCTGTTTAATGTCCAGTGCCAAATTAAAAGCATATTCATGACTAGAACATGTAAATGTGATGTGTATATAGACTTGCTTTGTACAAGACCAAAATGCTTTGCCGGAATTTTTAACGTGCCAGTTCGCAGGAAGATATGGCACTCTACTTGGACACATTATTCTGTCGACCAGTCTTTGCTGTTACTCCTAAATGCCGCGTGCTTAGCAGAGAAGCCGAAAATTTGTATGTTCTGTGACCCAGTCGGGGAACACGGTCGAGCACGCCACTACCACATTTTCGAGAACGAAAGCAAAGTAAATTAAAAAAGAATTGATGGTGATTTTGAAGAAAAATGAAGAATAAATACATAAAATATTATTAAAAATAAAAGTAGATAAACAGTAAGTCTATACTTCAATTGGATATATAGACAAGATATGGCATTGTGCCTTTTTAAAACCCTTTCTACCACATCCAACCCATGATCTTTCACGACAGTCCATACTGACAATGCAAGATAAATGCATTCCAAGAGGAGTCAATGTTTGATAAAGTAAAAACCGAACCATCGGTAGAAATGAAATGGAGCGCATCATTAAATGTATCAGCGCGTTGTAACTGTAATGTCATTAGGACAAAACCTGTTATTTGACAGTTCGTAAACTTTATAAACCCACCGAAGAATTCCAGTTTCGTATAGTGCAACAATCCGTCCGTTTTCGTTGTCAATAGTATCGATGACATAAACAATATTTCCATCTGTTGATATTCTAGATGGTACAGTAAATAATTTATTTTTCGCAGCATCCAATTGATGTGTCCGACTTGTTTTACCAAAATCATCTAGCTTTCTTTCTTGTCTAATACTTAATCCATTTACTAATAAAGGATCAGTTGATTTCTCACGAAGTCCAACAAGAATTCCTCTTTCGTTTCTTTCGGAATAAGGGGTTCAAGATCATGAAATGTTTGAACTGAACCATCTTCAGTTAATATCTTAACGGTTGTATCATTTGTTGAGCTTGAAAAGATAAGCCCACCTTAACGAAATATTGCAATTGAACAGACGTCAATCTTCTGGTGTGACTTAAAATGTGTATCTGTAGAGCCTACGGAAGCGTATTCTATAGTTTTGTCAACAGCACATCCTAATAATGCAGTACTATCGTTGACTGCACACACTGGGTTTATAAATACCAGTATGGTGTCAAAAGAGTGGAGTTTGTGCAGTTCAACATCAAAACACAGAGATTTCTTTATGGTTCCAAAGTTATCTGAAATAGATTATTTAGACAGACTGCCATCTTGAAATCGAGGCATCTTTTCTATTAGAACATTACAATTGATCGCTCAGAAACTAGGATCTGTAGATTGTTGTTCTTTGCAATTTGTCCTTACATGTAACTGTGTTTCATATGTTGTTAAAATTTGGCTTATTTCCATCCATTTTCTGTTTGCCTCTTGACAAAATAAATATGCATAATTTTGTAACATTTCCTTAAGTTGTTTTTGACGTCTCTTTATATTTTTCACTAGTCCTTCATAATTAGCACATTCTTTTTTTCTAAAATTTTCAATGAAATCCAGTGTTTTTAAAACATCAATCGAGTTTTCCATAATGATTAGCACTGAAAGTTTTAATGCTAAACTAGATCACTAAGTCTCAACTTAGATTAAATGTACATGAATAGGAAATGTTAACATTTAATTTTACCTTACGTCCTTAATACTTTTAATATCTATATTTACTATACAACTATATGCATGATACACGTGGTTTCTACTATACATGTGTCTGAACTATGACGTTATTATTATAGAGAAGATTTTCAGAAAAAGATTATCATTAATTATAATGGGTACTCAAGCAGAACTCCTAAATTTTCATTTTGTATCGCTCCAGAAATATTTATGTGTATAAAATTATGGGATATGGGTTATTAAATGTTAGAAACTGTTGAGAAATAAAATCAACATAATCGTATTGCATTTGTTTTCTCTGTTTATTTTAGGACAATCTATCATAGTATATGCAAGAAATGCAAACAAATACTAAATCACGAGGATAAACTGTAGGCTGAACTCTAATAGTAAAATCGGCGGGGAAGAAAACCAAATTTTTCTCAAACTTGAACTTCAACCATTACATTACCTTTTATGGCATTACTGAGTGCGTAAACAAAAACCATAGACATGTACTAAAATATACTGTTTGTGATACAGTATCGGCGGTTTGCATGTAGACATGGTATCTCCGGAAAGTCCGATTTACTAAACAAAAAATGCGGTGAAAACCAGGTATGGGATAATGCTAATGTGTAATTGTAATTGTAATGCCCTGTAATGCATTACATTTCCCCAAGTTATGCATGTAATGTGTAATGCTCCAGTTTTGGCATTACATGTAATTGTAATGTAATGCATTACATTGGCAAAAATGCATGTAATTTATGCATTACATGGCATTACAGAGCATTACATAAATCGACCCCCCTCCCATATGCATACACCATCAATTTTCAAAATTATATTGATTGCTAAGTCTTATATATTGTTACAAATATCAGGGATGATAAGTACCTTCTTGTTTGTTTTTAAATAGGAAAATTAAATACAAATCAATAAATGATTAACAAAAAGTGTAACTTTAAACTGTTGTCAAACTAATGATCCCTCGCTCTAAATTTCATAGTATATACCTTTTCATAGACCAACCTAGACTTATACATTTGTACTAACAATTTAAACAGATTTATTTTAAAAATATACAAAAATAACCTTTTACTTTCTCTCTTATAATTAATCACCTGTGAGAAAATAAAACAGATTTATTGCCCCAAGTTTTAAACTTCAGGGATAAACATAAACATATATTAACCTGTTTGAGCTGTTATCATTTTTTAGTAGATTTTGTTATTTGGAATATTGATGTCGAATACATTAGACCATTTTGACATTCCAATAAATAAGAATGATAGAAATACAAATTTCAAGGCAAAATGCAAACACTGCTCTTCTGTGATATCAGCAAGCCTAGAGATAACTTCCAACTTTGCAACACATTTAAAGGAAAATGCTTCAATAACTACAAAAATTTGTAATTTTGCTTCAACTAAGAAAACATATGATGAAAACTATTGTTTTTACTTTGATTGGTATAGTTTTAAATTTGCAATGTTCATATACAATTATAGTTATAGCAAAACATAATTATTTGAAAATAAAAGAAAAGATAATTGACACCTGTCAAAAAACCACTAATTAGATTGTATAGCAATCAATTCCTTACTTTTAACAAGTACATTTATGGTTTAGATATCATTGAGATTAAGTTATCACTTCAATTAAAAAACAAAATGGTAGAATAAATTCCTTAAAACATCTCTGTTATTTCTTTTTAGAAAAAACACATAGATATTAACTTATAATATAAAAAGTCTGCCGCTGAAGAGCAACCAACCTTGTCAAATTTTGTAAAACAACTGGTAGTCAGAAATATCAATTAAATGACCCAAAGCAAAGAGAAGCCATAGATTTACTTATCGAGTATATTGCTGGTGATTTACTCCCATCTTCAACAGTTGAAAGTCAAAACTTTTAAGAACTTTATAGAAACCCAAAATTTCAAATTCAGAGATAGAAACATCTCTTTATTAAACTACAGAATAAGGTCAAGGATGTACATTAAAAACTGTATGACAAACTCCAGAAAGCTGATAACATTTGTTTGACTGTCGACATTTGGTCTAATAGGGCAATGAAAGGATTTCTGGGCATATCTCCTCGCCACATCTTAAATTGGGAAATGAATTCTGCCAAGCTTGCATGTAAAAGAATAAAAGGTAGACATACCGCCGAAAATATTCTTCATGGTGATAAAATTTATTAAATGTAATGTGTAACATAATGTATAACTTTGTTGAAGTAATTGTAATGTTATGCATTACTTTCCAAAATACATGTTATTGTAATATAATACTGGTTTAGTCAAAGTAATGTAATGCAATGTAATGCACCCCATGCCTGGTGAAAAAATGCATATGTATTAATAGTTGACAATCGAAATATTGTTGAAATAAGAAAAGTTATCATGACTAATATTTTTCCTTATAATTTAATTCTAAATTCCATTTTAAGGAGTAAATCATGAAAACAAGTTTGATGACGTCACGGTCACATGACCAAACTATGTCTATGAGCCGATAGACAATACATGTTCAGCCAATCTGAAGCCGTGTTGCATCAAAATTAAATTATTGCTAAGTAAAAACGGAGAAACAAAGCAAACATAATTAGACTTATGGAGGACAAAAGTACCATTGGATCAAAAAATGTTGATTTAAAAAAATCATAACTGATGAATTACTCCCAGTATAATAAATGAGATGATTGTGTAAATAAAAATATATTGAAATAAAAAAGTTTGCTGTAAAAGAGAGGCGAAGGATACCAAAGAAATAGTGAAACTCTTAGTCGATAACAAACTGACAATGCCATGGCAATAAAATGAAAAACGATCGAAAGACAAATAGAAATAAGAAGATGTGGTATGAGGGCCAATGAGACAAATCTCCATTCAAGTCACAATGTGTAAAAAGTAAACAATTATAGGTCAAAGTACGGCCTTCAACACGGAGCCTTGGCTCACACCGAACAGCAAACTATAAAGGGCCCCAAAATGACTAGTGTAAAACAATTCAAACAGGAAAACCAATGGTCTAATCTATATCAAAAACGAGAAACGAGAAACACTTAAGAACCACATCAACAAACGACAACCACTGAAACAGGTTCCTGACTTAGGACAGGTGCAAACAAATGCAGCGGGTTTAAACGTTTTAACAGGCACCAACCTTCACCCGTACCTGAAATAGTAGTATACATTTCAGGTACATAAAGGGTGTTTAATTACAAAATAAACGTATCAAGTGCTCTTGAGTATTAATTGCAATCACATAAAAATGTTTGTGATCTGTGAGCTCGTAGATGGCCTTTCTCAGATTTGATACATTTTTGGGAGTTTTTGGTTATCAATGCTCTGTAATAACATTAACGGTACCAATTTTACTGCGCCAGATGAGCATTTCGACAATAAATATCTCTTCAGTGATGCTCGTGGCCAAAATAAACAAAAAACCAATAAAATTAAGCAAACATTGAAGAGCCGATCAAACCAAAAAGTACACTACAGTGATTAATTTGGCTTTCCAAATGTTTTTATTCGAGCGCCACTGATTACTCTGTGATTAAACCTATATAGACGAAACGCCTGTTTGTCGTATTAACACATAAGCCTGGTGTCCTTGATGTTTTTTTAAGCAAATTGTATTAACTGCCAAGTAGTTAACATCCTTGGGCTGACATGAAATATAGATCCGATCTTTTTCTTCGCCTTTTAATCTCATAAATATGAACTTTCAGTTCATCTTTAAGTTAACCCATGTATTTATGGTCCTGTGTAAATATGGCCTTATTCAGAAATGGCACAACATTTTTTAATATGTTTGCTTCCAATGCTCTTTAACCATATCAATATGTTTCTAGGTAATGTCTGTTTTACCAAGTATTTCCTGTGATGTTCAAGTGGCGCAAAATATTTATATTATGGAAAAAAGAATGACCATGATCATTTGAAAGCAAGATTCTAGTAAATATTGTGTATAGATGTTTGGTCTTATGTACGTTTGTCAGCGATAAATGCGCACGAGTAGCATCTGGTTATGGTAAAAAAAACTTACAGAAAAAAATGTTTTCCCAGGATTTTTTTATGTCATGTTTATAAGCATATAACCATATAAAAGTCGAATGAAAAAAAATGAATTCCATCAATCTGACTAAAAGGTTTTAATCTTATAATTGAAATGAAAATGATAAAAGGGCGTGAAAAATTAAAAAAAAAAACATATTCTTTTAGACAATTTAATCTTATAATAAATTGATGGCAATAGTCAAAATTGTTTTCATTACAGTCACATTAGAATCGACTTAATAAAAGGATTAAATGCACGTTTTGCAACTTAAAGTTCATTTGCCTTGCCTTGAGGCGTTAATGTAACTTAAATGAAAACAAAGCTATTGCTTGAATGACTTTATATTAATTTTGGTGAAAGCACAAATAGATTAAATTGCTCTCAACTAGATTTTTAAAACCAGAGATTAATGATAATATCTTTTTGGAGATATCTTTTTGGAATGATTCATTGCAATGGATTTGTGGTTAATAAAAAGTACATTTGATTTTTAACTGGATATAAAATAATCTTTGGTGACAAAGAGGGATTTTCAAACATGAAGGAATTCCCAATAAACCAGGATGTGATAAGATATTACAACTTTTGCCCATATATGTATACAAACTTAATGCATTTTCCTTTAAAACATGGAATTTATAAATCTTTACGAAAACAGCTTAAAAAGACGAAAATAATCTTCATCTAGGATTTATGGAATCATCCAAAAAACATGGATTGCAATTACACTTGTACTTCTATCATCATTTAATATTATGCAGCTTACTGTTCCATTCATTAAAAAGTCTTTTGCACTGAGGAGAGTGCACACCACAACTGCATAATACTTTTTTTCACTATTGGTATATGATGTTTTTATATTTTATAATGTTTGTAATGTGTATATTGTTGTATTGTTTGCACCAACCCCTCGGGGTATAAATGTACATTTCTTAATAAATTTATAATTAATACTAGTCCATGTGTGTTTTTGTCCTGTAAAGCAGCAGCATTTATTCTGACTAAATACATTTTTACCAAACCGAATAAATCAGTTTTAGTCTTATGAGGAAAAGTTCAAAAAGACAATATTTTTACTATAACTTGAGTTAAGGATAATGTACCCTTTTGTTGTTTCAATCATAAACATAAGGAAATATTATTAAAAAAAATTCCAATATTTGACAAATCGGTGCTTAATAGATAGAGAATTCGTTTGTCCAGTGCTAGCAATGATTTCCCCAAAAACAAGTATATAATTTAAATAAAGATATTGGTCAAACAAGTATTAAAAAAGGACTTATTCAAGTACACCTTCTATGGTGCGCTCGACTTGAGTGGCTAAGCACGAGGTTTTTGGATTTTAAAGGTTGTTTATGACTTTTTGTAGACAATAAACGCTAGCACCGTATGAACAAACAAGTGAGTAATCTAGTTTTGCAGGTATATAACCTTCCGTAATAAAGTATGTGGGTTTTTTGCAAAAATCTTGGCTTTATTTGCCACCAAATCTCCACTTTCATTTAAATGCAATGAAATATTTACCAGTATTGCTATGAACAACGTTTACCTTTGGTATGTGTACAAAATGGCAGGTCACTTTTATTCTGTATTTTTACTGTTTTGATATTGTTGCACTTTGAAAATTTCGTAACACAGGCCTACAGAAATGGTCATCAACCTTAAATAAACACAAAAGTGTCTAATTTGCATTACGACAAAGTCCCACATAATAATTTGTTTTGAGAATATTCAATTTCCAACAAATGCAATGGTACAACAAAAATCATTTGTAAGTCCTTGGAGGAAATTATCTTTAAAAAATCGGTCGATATATTTTAAAATGCAAAAGTACTTTATAATAGCTAGAAAACAATAACTTAAACAATGAAAATTATATATTAAAACGATAGAACGTTAAGTTAGCATTTAAAAAATTCAAATGGATTGAATGTAAGCACAAACAAAGAAAGCGAAAAATGTTCATTTACATGAAAATGAATGCATTAGTTATTTAAGCTAAGTCCTCGGTAAGTTGAAGTTCAATAAGAAGAGCATAAAGATAACTGAAAGTGTGATATTGAAATTGCTTTTCACAATGGACTTCCTTATTTTTAAATTATGATCAAATTACTTGAAAACTATGTTTTTATTTCATTGTAAGTTATTATTCAAATATATTGTATGTTGGATACGTTTTTATTTATCAACATAATCAATATCTTTGTTTTGGCGCATAGTTATCAGAATCAAATTCTCATCCCAAGAAGTAAATCTGAGAACCTGGTTGGTCGAAGAAAAGAAGAGGAAACATATTATTAGTTACATAGTGTGCTAGTGACCTAATACGATATATATGGGGTCAGTAAATTCCATATGGGGTGAGAGCGAAGCTAGTGACCTAATACGATGTATATGGGGTCAGTAAATTCCATATGGGGTGAGAGCGTATTAGGTCACTAGCACACTATGTAACGAATTTATCTTACCGACTATCTTAACATGTGGTATTTAGAATAGTGGCCTATCAAAGTGATCAAGTCTTACTATACCGTTAGTATTAAGAACCTACTTCCATTGGTCTATACAAAAACAAATGCCAACAATAAAAACTTGTCAGCTTTAAATGTGTTTTATGAATTTATTTCAATCGTTCATCATCAATTTTTTCATCTGTTGAAACCTTTAAGATTTTCTACTCAACACCGTGTTGTTTTTATAAAGGGACGTAACACCACTACTAACCGTGTATTGAAATAAGCCCCGCCTACTAACCCAATATGGAATATACACGGGTCTCCACGCGGTTGCTTTAAATCAATCATATTCCTAGAAATGTATAGGAGGTAAGATAATCTGTTTTATCCGCTCCTTCAAAAGTTTTTAATCAGCGCCCATCAATCTTTGTACAATTTTGAGTTTAAATTACAGATTATAGAGTTGTTCAATTTTCAACACAATTCTAAATGGGGTGTATTTTATTTTTTCCTCAAACCTTCTTAAAGAAATTTCTTGGTATTCCTAAACGGAAGATTTTATACACACAGAAGAAGAAGTATACTTAACAACAAAATTATTTTCATTTACCTGTGTATAATATGACGCAGGTTTCTTCAAAAGTGATGATTTTCTAAAAATTGTTTGAAATTTAACAGTGATATCATACTTTAACTTTGTTTAAACCTGTTTATTTACTTTTGACTTTAATTATTTATCCCTTGTAATTTTATTAACTGTGTATTTGCATTCAGGTGTCACAGGTTAAATTTATTCGTTCATTGCGTGTTAATTTACGTTTTTTGATTGAGTTAAGCCTTCCAATTGATATATTACAGTGTGTGTTTCTATGTTGTGATGTTATACTATTGTTTCAGAAAAGGGAGAAGGTTATGTACCATTAAAACGTTTAATCCCGCTGCAAATCTTTGCACCTGTCCTAAGTCAGGAATCTGATTACAGTAGTTGTCGTCTGTTTATGTAGTTCATACGTGTTTTTCGTTTCTCGTTTTTATATAGATTAGATCGTTGGTTTTTCTGTTTGAATGGTTTTACACTAGTAATTTTTTTGGGCCCTTTATAGCTTGCTGTTCGATGTGAGCCAATGCTCCGTGTTGAAGGCCGTACCCTGACCTATAATGGTTTACTTTTATAAATTGTAACTTGGATGGAGAGTTTTCTCATTGGCACTCATACCACATCTTCCTATATCTAATTAATATTTTTATATAGTACATTTGAGATGTGTACATCAGCGTGTACAGGTCTAGAGAATTTGTTGCCTTTTTTTCCTTTTTTGGCCCTTATAGTTTAGTTTTAGTTTTTCCACTTTTTTTATTTGTAGAAATTAGTTCATATAATATCTGATTGCCAACATTCAAATATAAACTCCCTACAGTATGTCAAATCCTAGTATTAATATTATTCATGGGTATTAAATTTACAAACAGTAAGTATTGACACTCGGCTTTTGGTTGCCTTTCGCTTAGGTTTTTGTCATGTACTGCTGTTAATCAAATTTGTTCTTGAACAAAACGCCTAAAAAAATTTGAACATTTAAATACACGAATACTATTGTGCTTGACAAGTAAGTTCATAAACTTCATTTGTGTTTTCTTATGCAATGTTTTCCCGATGACTGATTGATTGATGGTTGCTTAACGTCCAGTGGCAAATATTTCATGCACGTGCAGGACCAGAACGAATTAACAATTAATACAATGGGTAGGTTTTGTAATAGTGGCCGTTCGGGATGAAGGTCGTGGATATTTTGACTGCCACTGAAAAATGAGGGTATATTGGATAGGGACAGAAGTTTTGCCTTGCAACAAGTCACCTACGGACCTATCAAAAAGTTGTTTCAAGGGTTCATAACGTGCAGAGATCGTGGCACTCTCTCGACACTAGTTATTAAGACAAAGTGGCCATATTTCTATTCCCCAGTCACCCTTGGGGGTTGTCCCGAGAAAAGTTACGTAGTGCTATAGAAAACCACTCATATTGCAAAGTTTTAAAGTGTGTCATTGGCTCTCAAGGTATTAAGTGGTCAGAGGTTTTCATCATATTTTTTCTTAAATATTGCATATTAAAGAATTTAGTTCGTGTAAAAACGTCCTTTGAAGGTCTCTCTCTGCCTGACTTGTCATGGGTTTATATATCTTCGGCTCTTAGCATGTTTTATTCTAGGTATTTCTACAAAAGATTATACAGAAAATACAATAATAATATAATAATACCTACAATAATAGGACCAACACATAAAAAATTAAAAAGCAACGCAGCAAAAATGAAAAAAATAGCTACAATATTAGAGACAAGGGACAAGGGAACAGTGTGGTAGATCGTTCATAAATGCACACGAAGTAACGATATGATAAACATATTATTAAAATATAATACAAAATAACCTAATTACAGCTTAATTGTTCCGGACAAATTCATTTTCTAATAATATTTGCTTCAGAATAATAAGTTTATTCCTAATAGTTTAAGGAACTCCCATTAACAACGATATAATTAGTATAACT